AGAAGAAGAAGACAGCGGGGTGAAAGGAGGCGAGGGAGGTGAAGAAGAAGAAGAAGGTTGGCGAGGAAGGAGACCCGGCAGCCATAGCTGACCGGGAGGTTGACCGAGAGGGTTGACCAGAGGCGTTGACGACGTTCACCGGAGTTGACCGAGGGTGGACCAAGGGTCATAGCAGCGTTGACGGGCGTTGACCAAGGGCGTTGACCAAGGCGTTGACCAAGACTTTGACCAAGACTTTGACCAAGCTGGAGTTGGTAACATCTCGCCAAGCCTTCAGCCTATCCCTGGCCCTGTGGATGTGCACACACCCCTTGGTACTTGCTGAGTCAAGTTAGTCTGTCTATCTTTCTGCATTGAGTCTCTTCTGTCTTAGGTCATAGTACTCTGTGGATGAAGGATAGGGCTTGGATGACGAAACCCTAGTCTGACCTTGTAGGGCTGAGACTGTGGCTGATCCAACTTTCCCGGGGGGCATAACCCTCCCAAGGACCGGTGCTGACCGGCTGGAAACGGTTGGTAGGACTCAGTGGGCCTGAACGGCAGTTAGGGCTGACACATCAGGCAGTTTTTGAGTGTTGAGGGCCTGTTTCAACCACTCCCCTACCAGACCAAGAAAGGCTGATSATCTGTGTCTGACGACTCGACTGTCCCGGGGGATACGAACCCTCCCAAGGACCGGTACAGACCGGCGGGCTGCTCGGTGTGGCACAGTAGGCCGGAAAGGCTGAGTTGTGGGCTGAAAGCACAGGCRGAACCAAGCTGATCACGTCGTCCTGTCTGCGACGTTAAAGAATTCTTGAGGAGTTACGGGGGATCTCCTTAAATGCCTCCTGATCAACCACTGGTTCAGTAGTGACAGCCATAGCATAGGTCTAGGCTAGAGACCATAGTTGACAGGGTCCTTGTCAGGATTCTGTAGGTCTTAGATTGAGTGTATGGGTTTGTCAGTCAGGGGTCAGAGTCTACGTGGTGAGGTCTGGAACCACTAACCCGGTTGTACACTTATCACCATGGTTGGGACCCGTAGTGGGTTAGAGACTAGCCCCTATAGTAAGGAGCAGCAAGAAAAGATGGCCGCCTTAGTCCAAGAGAACAGGGAGAGAAAAGAGCGTGAGAAGCAAGCGAAGCTAAAGGCTATCGCAGACGAGCAGGCGGCGAAGGTGAAGAGATTGGAGGAGGAGATGAAGAGAGTACAACAAGAGGAGGAAGAAAGAAGAAAACCTGCTGAAGCAGAAGCGGCAGCAGAAGAAGAGAAAGAGAGAATGAGGATTGAGAGTGGAGAAGGAAGCAGTGGTGGCACAATGAAGGGGGAGACAAATATTGAGATGGAGAAGAAGATCAGCGAGTGGGTCGCTAATTTATCGTTGGGTGAAGAGGAGGAGGCAGAGTCCTATGTGACTGAGGATGAGAGGGCTGCGCTAGCCAGTGAGTTAGCAACAACGACAAATCCGATGGAAAGGCGAGAAAGGGAGGAGGAGCAGAAATTGACATGGAAGTTGAGGATGAAGCGAGAGAAGAAGAGGAGGAGAGAGGAAGTGAGTAAAATGACTGCAGAGGTAGCGAAGGTGCAAGCGTGCAGGCAGGAGGTGTTGGCCCAGCCGGATGATAAGGCCAAGTGGGACAAGGTACTGGGGTACTTGGAAGTGTTGAGCAAGGTCTGGATGGAAGAGTGCCAGGCTAGCTGGAGCCAAGATGTAGCCTTGAGTGCCATGCGGTCAGGGTGTAGAAACTTTGCGCGCGAGATCGTCACCCATATTGGGGGCGAAGTCAAGCAATTGAGAGACAATGGAGGGAAGTTTTGTGAGGGCGCCATTCAGGGTGCCAAAGCTGTAGCCGCTGTAGAGGGAGAGGCCAGACCCCGTAAGGACCCAGTGAAACTTAAGTTCCTAGATGCGTACGGGGGAAAGAAGGAAGAAAACTTTGACAACTGGGAAGCCAGTGTCAATAGTTATATTTACTTACAACACATCTTGATTGAGGAACAAGTCCTCGTGGCCTTCCAGGCCCTCAAAGATGAAGCGGCTAGTTTCGCCAGGTCTCTTGCGCGTACAGCTGGTTGTGAAAACAACGTGGTTGCATATTCCAAAGTCACCCCTCTTTCCCAATTCCTCAAGCTCCTCAAGGAGCGTTTCGCTGACCCAACACGAGGCATTAGAGCCTCTGACAAGCTGCAAACGATCCACTCACGACAGTGGAGGAGTGCCAGGGCACTCAAGGGTACCATGGACGACTTAGTGGCCGTCCCGGACCATGGGGTCACTGAGACCCAGTTGGTCCAATTGTTTTATCGCGCCATACCAGAGGCCCTGCGCGGGCATTTCTTTGACAAATCTGAACAGGCCAGCATCACATATGATGCATTCAGTAGGGAAGTCGTCCTGTATGAGTCAAAATCTATGCCAGTTACCACCTTCTGGCACAAAGGCTTGGAGAAGGGGAAAGGGTGGAAAGGGCGTACCATCTTTGGCCAAGTCAAGGCCAAGGATCATATGATCCTTACCTTAGAGGAAGGTGGTACAGACGAGGTTCCGTATAGTCAGATCGAGTGGTGCCTCGAGGATGATGGCAGTAGTGTGGGGCAAGGGAGGTCCTATGCTGCTGTCGCGGCTGGAGGGAGGCCGCAAGGTAGAGGAGGATGCCAGGGCCAAAGCGGCCAGGCCATGGGAGGCCGAGGACCGGGCGCGCAGGGGGTTGGCGGCCAAGGAAACCGCCAAGCGGGAGGTAGGGGTCAAGGTGCCCCGTTAAATCGCCAGGGTAATCGGTTCCCACAGCGAGGAGGTGGAAGAGCACCTCAAGGAGGATGGCACCCAGGCTTGCCACAGGGCAGGCCTTGGGAAGACTTGGGCTTGGACCAACGATTATGGCAGGAACGCGTGAACATGGGTCAGTGCGTTTTCTGTGGTGATCGGCGCACGTAATTAAATATTGTCCTAAGTACAGACAGGCCCGTTGGGCTGCCCAACAGTCAAAAGGCAGCCGCCAGTAGAGGTTGCAACTGCCCCTACTTCAAGGTCATGTGGAGAAGTGAGCGCGCGCGAACAGGACACTCCCAACCCATATGAACCTATGGCAGAGGTTGCAGGCCCGTGCCTAGCTAGCTGTCCAGAGACTGCCTGTGTTAGCGTCTCTTTAGGCACGTCCCTCACAGGTGTGGCAGAAGAGTTGAAGGAGAGAGTGTCAGCCTGGGCCAAGATGAAGAAAGAGAGTAAAGGACAACTGATCTTGGTAGATGTAGAGGTGTTTAGGAGTAGAGTAGGGGCCCTCATAGACTCAGGGGCCACCCGCAATTATCTTAGCCGTAGGACACTGAAGAAGCTGAAGCTAGGATTAACAGTCCAGAAATTGGCAGACCCCATAGTCAGTGTCCTCACAGACAACCGCACGATGCGAGTTGAGGACTATGTAGAGGGAGTCCAGGCGTATTTTCGCCTAGAGAAAGATGGGAAGGTGGAGAAAGTTCTCCATTCCTTGACTCTCCTCGTACAGGATGACCTGCCTTTCGATATAGTGTTAGGAATGGATTGGGGAGAGGCAGCAGGGGCCACACTTCATTTGAGAGAGCATGAGTGTAGGCTCCCTAGTCCGTCAGGCGAGGTTAAGACTGCCCGCTTGTTCCATGTGTCTGGTGTAGATAACACCTTGGCACATTGCTGTCTCAGTGCTCCCGCGTTCGCGCGATTAGTCAAAAAGGAGCAGTTAGAGGAACAGGTCTTTGTAGTGTATGTTAGACCTATCACCGAGGGCAAGGAAGAGATAAGTTCCACAAATCCAACCGTAGCCAAGTTGCTGGAAGAATTCAAAGACTTGATTGAGTCGCCGACAGGAGTAGTGTCGCGACCCATCCAGCACAGGATAGAGATAGAGCCCGACAGTAGAACTCCTAAGGGTGCAGTCTACAGAATGTCCCCCAGGGAGTTAGAGGAGCTTCGCAAGCAGTTAGATGAGCTCCTAGAGAAAGGTTGGATCAGGCCCAGTTCGTCTCCTTTTGGAGCACCCGTTTTGTTTGTCCCCAAGAAGGAAGGAAAGCTGAGAATGTGTATAGACTATAGGGGTTTGAATGCGATTACTGTAAGGAATGTTGAGCCACTGCCCAGGATAGACGATCTCTTAGATCGGCTGCAGGGTTGCAGGTATTTCTCCAAAATAGACTTGAAGTCCGGATACCATCAGATAGAAGTCCATCCTGATGACCAGTTCAAGACTGCGTTCCGGACTAGATACGGGCACTATGAGTTCATAGTGATGCCCTTTGGACTAACCAACGCACCAGCTACCTTCCAGTGTTGTATGAACGACCTGTTTAGACCGTGGTTAGATAAGTTTGTAGTAGTCTATCTAGATGATATCCTAGTTTTTAGTAAGACCCTCCAGGAGCACCAGGGTCATCTGAGGCAGGTCTTGGAAAAGCTACGAGAGGCTAACTTCAAGATCAACGCAAAGAAGTGTGAGTGGGCCAAGACACAAGTTTTGTACTTGGGCCACGTGTTGGACGGAGATGGCATTAAGCCAGAGGACAGCAAGATAGGGGCGATTAGAGACTGGCCGACGCCCCGCACATTGACAGAGTTGCGATCGTTCCTAGGCTTAGCTAACTACTATAGGAAGTTCGTGAGGAACTTCTCCACTATCGCCGCCCCCTTGCGCAGACTGCTAAAGAAAGAGGCAATCAGGCAATGGGACAAAGACTGTACGTCTGCGCTCAAGAAGTTAAAGCGCGCGTTAATATAATATCCCGTCCTCAAAGTAGCAGATCCGTCCTTGCCATTTGTCGTTATCACGGACGCAAGACAATATGGAATAATAGGTGCCGTGTTGCAGCAAGACGACGACAATGGCTATAGACCCGTAGAGTTCATGTCAGCGAAGATGCCCTGTGAGAAGGTCGCTACCTCCACGTACGAGAGAGAACTCTACGCTCTCAGGCAGGCTTTAGACCATTGGAAGCACTATCTGCTTGGGAGGCACTTCAAAGTGTATTCTGAMCACGAGACACTTMGTTGGTTAAAGACACAGGCCAAGATGACACCTAAGTTGACTAGGTGGGCCGCAGAGATAGACCAATTCGACTTTGAGCTCAAGCCAGTGAAGGGCAAATACAACGTAGTTGCGGATGCTCTGAGTAGGAGATCAGACTACTTTGGAGCCGTAGTACACTATCTGGATATAGGGAGAGACCTGCAGGAGAAAGTTAGGCAAGCATATGGGCAGGACCCTATCTATAGCGACCTCCTAAAGAGAGTTAGAGAGGCTCCAGAGACTGAACCAGACTACCGCACTACAGACGGGTTGCTGTTTGAGAAGACTAATGTGTTTGACCGCCCGTGCGTTCCCAACATCGAAGAGATCCACAGTTTGATTTTAGGGGAATGCCACGATACTGAAGGGCATTTCGGTTGGCAAAAGACATTAGCCAACCTGATGCGTGCGTATACCTGGCCAGGGATGAAGAATGACTGCATAGAGTATGTCCGCAGTTGTAAAGTGTGCCAGAGGAATAAGTCTACGACATGCGCGCCCCTAGGTCTTCTCAGACCCTTGCCTATCCCGGATCAGCCGGGAGACTCCGTGTCCATAGACTTCATGGACACCCAAGTCAAGAGTAGACATGGTAAGAGCCAAGTCATGGTCGTAGTTGACCGCTTTAGCAAATATGCAGTTTTCGTTCCTTTGCCTGCAGAGGCACGTACGGACTTAGTTATACAGAAGTTTTTTGACTTTTGGGTTAGCGAGAATGGAATCCCATTGTCAATAGTTAGTGATAGAGATAGTCGTTTCACCAGCCAGAACTGGCAAGAACTCATGAGCGTCTACGGATCTAAGTTGCTAATGTCATCTGGCCGTCACCCAGAGACTAACGGTCAGACAGAACAGATGAACAAGTTCCTACAACAAGTTCTGCGCATGTACATTAGACCAGATCAGATTAACTGGGATGAGATGTTGCCTAAGGTAGCTAGTGCATACAACAACAGCGTGCATCTATCCACCTGCCGCACTCCCAATGAGTTGCACAAGTCCTTTCGACCACGCAGACCGTTTGAAGGACTGAACCGGGATCAGATTCATAGATTACCGCCCGGTACCAGGGAGTTTGCGATACAACACGAGAAAGAACTAGCCACTGTTGTTGAAAACCTCAGGAAGGCCCAGCATAGGATGAYAGAGCAAGCTAATAAGCACCGCCGCCCGTCGCAGTTTCAGGTAGGCGACTTAGTCTGGGTCAAGGCTAAAGAGTTTGCACCTGAGGAAAACATCTCGCAGAAGTTACTGCCCGCATATAGAGGACCGTGGCCGGTTCTAGAAGTCAAGGGCGGAGAGGATGGACCGTCCTATAGCATTGAGATTCCAGCACACCTCCACACATACCCTGTGTTTCATGCTTCAAAGCTGCTGCCGTGAGTCACAAGTCAACAGTTCCCTTCGAGAAGATCCATGATCCCTCCGGATATGGATTGAAGTTATGACATTGAAGGCATTGTAGATGAGGATGTGTTCAGAACAGGAGGTAGAGGTCGTCCCCAGAAACAATATAAGGTCCATTTTGCTTATCAAGAAGCGGAAGACGACGGCTGGTTCACGAAAAAAGAACTTCTAGAAACCGCTCCCGACATAGTCAGAGCCTATGAACGTGACAAGAAAGGTAAAGGTCCCGCCTTGGACTGAAATGTTCTCGGAGGACCTCGAATTTAGGACGGCGGGAGTGAAACGGTTTTCACCTTTTAGCAGTAGCGGATGCAGTACCCAGGGTTCGACCCCTAGACCTCACCCTACCTATGTACAGTATTTGTATAGATCCCGAGAGTTGAACCTGTGACCTGTGTATTTGCAGATAGTTGGTAGGTCTGTCGTAGGTCCATAGGCAGCAGCGGTTCGATCTGTAGGTCTATAGCGTAGAAGTCTTAGTGAGTTCTGGAAGCTTAGCTGTAGACCTTCTAGAAGGTAGGCAAGTGGGCAAGTGGTCAAGTGGCGAGGCAAGTGGTGGACTAAACCGCAGTGCAACAGCAGTACGACGTCGGTAGGATAGCGGTGAGTCCACAGTCAGTCAGCGGAAGGTCCAGTCAGTCCCAGTCCGGTCCAGCAAGTACCACAGGGGGACTGTGAGCACCAAGGGCCGATGGCAAAGGGCAGACCAACGAGTTTCTGAAGTATAAATCAAGGGGCAGCGCCCAGCCATTCATTCATTCCTGCGTGAGCCATGCGGAAGCGCTGCCACAGCGACTTGTGCAAGGAGGTCTGCAGATGAGCCCGGGGGACGCAGTGGGCAAGAGAGAGGGAGTTAGCATAGCGATAGGTTAGATGCAGCGATAGCTGCCATAGCTGTAGTTAGTAGTGAGTGTGTGTGTGTGTTCGAGTGTTAGAGTGTGGGATATCCAGGGTGATCCAGTGTATGTGAACAGTGAGATGTTTGGGCGCTGAAGTCGCCATAGCCAATTGAGAGTGAACTCGTGTCTGAAAGCCATATCTCTGAGTTTTGAGTGGCCGCATGTCGCCAGTATGCTGCGTTGCTGTTTACATGCATGGAAAGTGTGTTTGAGAACGAGTCTGATTGCATCTCAGGTTTCCAGCGAGATAGGGAGCAGACCAATCCATTGCAGTTCGGCGTGTCTTGTCTGTCGATCAGGTGAGACGCCTGGTTGGCGTCCTTGAAGACTACTATAATCATGTTTCTGTTCAGGTTGAGGATACAAAATTTGTCTGTTGTGGTTTTGATAGATTCGTGGCATTGAATTGTTCTTGATAACCATTTCCTCCTCTCCACTGCTGGGAGGCGTGCCCCGGTGTTGGAGAACGAGAATACTAGCGCATGGTTCTCGTACATTGCGTTGGTGCGAACTAATTTTTCTTTGGGGAAACCCCAAGCAGTTACTTCTTCCTCAATTCCATTGTTCATGACTTTTCTGACGATCTTTTCGCCCTTGATATGTGGTGATTCCAGCAGGAATCTGAGTGTTTCGTTGTCGACTGTAAAGCTGTCTGCTTTTGGAGAGTTGTGTTTGGTGGACTTGGGGTGGCTTGTACCACGGATGAGAAGCGGCGCTGGAAAGTCGCTGCCATTGTTGGTGTCGAGCTCATGGTTCCAAGCTGGGCTCTCGCCATCTGTGGAGGTTGAGGTAGGGGAAGGGGGAGGGGAGGGGGTTGAGAAGGAGGGAGAGATCCGGGGGCAGGGGTGGTATGGGGGGGATGGTGGATAACCTACGTGATGTGGCGTGTCTAAGATCTACCGCTCAGGGGAGGTGCTTACCAGTGGTGCTGATGCTTCTCTTGCAGTGTGTTGTTATTTTTCAATTTTTCCATTTTTTTTGCCCTTCTAATCTATGTTGTGTTAGTGGTCACTCGTTAATGATCCTGGAGTTACCTTATACTGATTCAGAGCTAGCTTGATAATTTATGAAAGAGTTACTAGAGCAATGTGTGATGGTGATGTCAGGCGATTGTTTGCTTGTCGACGTGCCTTGCATGCGGTTTTCGCCACGTGGGATCAGGAAGCCATCGTAGGGCCTTGGTGTGTTTGTAGAGGGGATGAGAGTAGGGGGGTGTCTGGGGGTGGGTAAGTGTGGCAAGGGTTTGACAAGTGATCTACCATCTTGCTTGGCTATCGCAGGTGTACGGCTTATCCGGTGCAGGTGGAGGTTGCTTGAATAGCGTGGGTGCAGAGTCGGAACGGGGGTTGTATGGTGGAAGTGGTCTAGTGAAGCGATGAGAATGGTGAGGAGGTCGAGGTTGGGGCGAATAGGGGGTGGAGGGCTCTATCCCCTCTTTTTGAGGGTATTTGTGGTGTAGCTGGCGGTTGGTCTTTGTAGGGTGTGTTTGAGGGGAGGGTGTTCGCCGCACTTGGGGAAGGGGGGGTATTGGGGGGGTGGTCAGTGTAGGTGGGTTAGTTGTGCATGCATGGGGGAGTTGTGTCGTGGGGGTGGGTTGGGGTGGAGTGCCTAGGGGGGGCTAGGTCGTTAGTGAGTGGGGTAGCGGCGTCGGTATCGAGGGAGGATTAGCAGGGTGGATTGGGAGAGGGGTTAAAAGGTTTGTAGAGTGTAGGATTAGGGTCTAGGCTTGGGACTGGTTTGGTGAGGGGGATACTATCGGGAGTCTGTTGAGTTAGAATCGAGGGTCGGATTGCTGAGAGTCGGAGATATTAGGATGGTGTTCGAGCTTGATTGAGCTTGGGGTGGGTCCTGGGATTAGTGTGTTGTGATGGAGTAGATGGGTGGGAGGGAGGGAGGGGATGGAAGATTGAGTGGAGGAGGGGGGAGATAGGGTACTTTAGAGTGGGCAGCGGAGGCTCGTGGTGATGGGATCCTGGGCTGGTCTCACCGCTAGAACCAGGTTGTGGTGTCGTTGCATGAGCCGTTCCTTGAATCTTGGCTCGTCGGGGTGGGTTCCTCTCAATCGGGAAGAGATGGAGGTTTCTCTTCAATAGCAGTTGGCTGATCTTCCTGGCAGCTTCTTCAACTGCATGCAGCTTGAAGCCCGCTGGTAGTACAGCTACTATTCGGAGAGTGGGACAGCTTCGACAGGCGGGCGATTGTCCTTCTCCTCATGGGGCAGCTGGCTCCTCCTTGCTGCATCGTGTGCTGGCCCGGGCGGCCAGCTTTCGCCGGGTGTTCATCTACTTAGGGTGGGATGCACCCTGGGTGTGCGTGCTGGCGGCAATGGCTTTGGGTGTATTGGTGTCATGTCGGATTGTCACTCCTGCTTTCCGAGAGTGATGGCGTACATGGGTGGGGAAGTCGGTGGTGTCGAGGGTCGTAGAGACCCTCGGGATGGGGTGAGGGTGTTGTCACTTGCGAAGATGATGGCGATGGTGGGCACGTGTGGCGGCGTGCAGGGCGAGGGCGCAGACACGTGGTGGCTGTGGCGCGCGCGCTTCAAATTCGAACGCGGCGAGCTGGTTGGCGCGGGCGCTAGCACTGGTTGCTGCAGTAACCGCCGGTGCAGGTCGCTAAAGTTTCCTTTATTCTTCTTTATTCAGCGTTGTATTTATTTATTTAGTTTTCTGAGTTTGAGTTTGAACTGAGTTTGTCTGCTCTATTTTTGTCTCGATTAGATGTGACATTTCAAACTTTTCTTTTTGTCCGAACAGGCTGATGCCTGTTTGGACCATTGGATTTTCAGGCAGGCCGTGGTAGGCCAGATTCGGTTTTATCCGGTAGTCGGGTGGACCAGGTACTTGTCTGTATGTGCCTGGCCCAGTCCTCAGTTCCCTGCTGCATCAGCAGGAGGGCCTGAACGTCCTGTAGGGACCCAGGCAGGCTGTTTTAGGGCAGAGGCACAGGACCAGGACTTGATCCTGTGATTAGGACCGCTGATCGGACATTAGGTCCGGAGGTCCTGATCGAGGACTGAGGACTGGACTTCATCCTGTGATCAGGGCCGCCGAATGCACAAGCCCGTTGTTTCAGCGTTTTGGGGCTGAAACCGCTTTCTCGGGCCTCTGGCTTCTGACCCGTTTAATATCTGATTAAAAAAAATAAAAAAATACCCCCGTAAGTTGAGATATATGCCAAAATGCCCCTGAAAGATGTGGGTAGAGCGGAATGCCCTTTTGGTCTGAAATCTTTTCTGCTGTGCCCTTGTCAGGCAGGTGTGCAACTTTGCAATCTGGACCTCCGCGTTTGGGCATTGGCCTTTTGCAATAGCGCCCAGGAAAAGTTGGCAAGTACAGGGGCATTTTGCAAAGTTGGACGGTACCCGGCAGGGGTATATTGCAAAGACCCCAGGGGTATTTCACAAAATATTTTTTTTGTCAGAGGGGCATTCTGCTCTACCCACATCTTTTAGGGCCATTTTGGCATATATCTCAACTTCTGGGGGGTATTTTGCAAATTATCCCAAATAGAAACCGTTTCAGCGGGTCTCAGTACTGAAACATGTGCGCAAGGCCATTGCATAAGCCTCGGAAAAAGCATTCCTTCCCCAACTATTTCACCCATGCTGCTCTCTTCCCGTATTTCATTGCAAAAGTCCATGAGATCCCCAGGGCTGTGGTCCCACTAACAAAACGGATTGGATTAAGCACCTGAATCTGGATGGGTTTTGAGCGGAGATGCAGAAATGCAGATGAATTACGATTTTGTGCACCGGAGATGCAGAAATGCAGATGAATTACGCTTTTCTGCACCTCTCCACAAACTCGTCCAGATTCAGGCATTTAATCCAATCCTCTTTGCTAGTGGGACCTGGCTCCAGTGAGCATAACCCAGAAGGCCTCCAAGAATTCTTTGGGAAATGCATCAATTTCCGACGCCTTCTGTTCATCAAACTGTAGCAAGGATGACCAAATCTCTTCTTTGCTGATGGAGGTGCGAAACCTTTACAGTCATACTTAGACCTCCTTCTGTGCTTGGTAAAGGACTTCCTCTTACCTTACCAATATAAATGAGCTGTCTAGCACATGTGCGAGGATCCTTGTCCTCGGCAGGGCTTCTTGGGCCCCCGCTGAATGCCTTGCGCCCACCCTAAGTGAAGGCGGGCCTGCTCATCTCGTTGAGGCCTGATTTTTGCCATCTTGTGTTGCTGGTGGGCGCCAGACAGTTACCACGTGCCAGTTGGTTACATGGGCCCTGCTCGTGAGCATATGAAACTTCCGCGAGCCTCCTAGGCTCTTCCAGGCTTGACGTGGCTGGAAGCCTTTCGGCCTATCAGAGTGCAGAGAGCAACTCAGGCCACATATGATAGTTGGGAGCCCTCAACTGCTCTGGTCCCAGGCCACTGTCTGAATCGGGCCTGGGCATATACACTTTGGACCAAGGTGAAGCTACTGGGCATATGGGCCTCCGGTCCAGCCTGCCTTCTGGCCAGGACGCTTTCCATAAAAGAAAGAGCCTGGCCGCGACCCAGGATTAGGGCACTTGCTTCACATACGGCAGCGCTGCTGGAATTAACACTCAAGGCTGCTAGCAGAGTAGGAGCCCGGGCGCATGCGGGCACAAGAGGGAAGGTGGGTCAGCGGGGTATGGTGGTGGTCCAACGGTGGAGGAAGAACGTGGGGAGGAAGTCGGGTGGTGAGCATTGAGAGGGCGAGTGGGGAAAGAAGACACGAGGGCGCGCACCTGGTCATGGTGGAGGTCTGCATTGCTGAGATCTGCATGTCGTTGGGTTGCTGCTGTTGAGGTCAACTGGTTGCTTTGTGATCTAAGTAGGCTAGTATAGGAGCTCCACGGTCGTAGTCTGGGCGCTGAGCGCAAGTAGGAGGAAGGGCTTCAGAGACATTGTTGATGGTGGCGAGAGAGGGCTTTCGTTCGCAATTGAGTTAGCTGCTTTGTTTCTCCTGTGGTGTGATTTCGGTGCATTTCTGCTTTCTGGACGGTTCACGACTATCTGGCTTTCAGCATGATGTTGCAATCTGAAACTCTGTCATTTTTGTATTGCTGATATTCCTTGCACACGATTCTGCAGGACTGCAACCTTTTCAACCATACATTTCGAAAAACCCTCTAACATAATGTGTAATTGTCTTTCCCAAGTTTCCCTTTTACCTGCAGTCCTGTCAGAGTAGCTAAAAGCAAAAGCCTGAGAGCATTGTTGCAAAATTTTTCCCTTGTCACTCCCCCAAGATCTCGCGCTATTTATGTATCAGGGGCGCTGTACCCGATTTCCAGCAGGTGCTACTCCCCACCACTAGATTGGAGTCACCAACCAAGCTGCTAGGAGTGAGTGCTCTTATGGTGACTCCTAGCAAACTTGGTGGGTGTTAAAAAAAAAAAAAGATGATCTCGCGTCATCCTTGTGCAGACCTTGAGACCTCGATTGTCTTATTTCATAATGGCTTTATTTTGTGTAAGCATTGTAAGGCTATAAGCCCCATTTTGCACTGATACCAAAATGCTATCTTGATCTGCCAGGAAGATACTGATGTTGATGAGTGGGCCACTGATGGGTTACACTTCAAGTTGGAGGACAAGTTAAAAGAGATGAACAGTTGGCTCAAGGTTAGTCATCTGGCCCAAGTTCAATGTTAAACACGCACATCTCTGCCACTAATGGTTAACGACCACCTGAAATTTCAGAATGAAAGATTCTGAAGTGGTCTGAAACCGCCGAAATGGCCTGAAGGCACTTCAGGTCATTTCAGAAGTTTCGGGTGATTTGGAGGACAAGTCTTATGTTTTTTTTTTTTTCTTCTACCTGTTTTTTCAGCCACTTCAGGCCATTTCATGAATTTCAGGTGGGGACCTGAATGAAACCCCTTTCAGAAGCTTCAGCCAGTTCAGATCATTTCAGGAATTTCAGGTGGGGACCTGAAACCGCTGAAGTGGCTGAAACCCCTTTCAGAAGCTTCAACCACTTCAGGTCATTTCAGGAATTTCAGGTGGGGACCTGAAAACGCCGAAGTGGCTGAAGCTTCCGAAAAGGGTTTCGAGTACCCCCGTCCAACCATTTGGATGGGGGTACCTGAAACGCCTTTCAAAAGCTTCAGCCACTTCAGGTCATTTCAGGAATTTCAGGTGGGGATCTGAAACCGCTAAAGTGGATGAAGCTTCCGAAAGGGGTTTCGGGTACTGAAACCCCTTTCAGAAGCTTCAACCACTTCAGGTCATTTCAGGAATTTCAGGTGGGGACCTGAAACCGCTGAAGTGACTGAAGCTTCTGAAAGGAGTTTCGGGTACCCCCATCCAACCATTTGGATGGGGGTACATGAAACCCCTTTCAGAAGCTTCAGCCACTTCAGGTCATTTCAGGAATTTCAAGTGGGGACCTGAAACCGTTGAAGTGGCTGAAGCTTCTTAAAGGGGTTTCGGGTACCCCCATCCAGCCATTTGGTGGGGATCTGAAGCGGCTGAAAGTGACCTGTAAATAGTGTGTGTTGTTAACCATCTCTCATCTTTGCTCTCTAGGTGAGATATTTACCAAGCTCTGCACAAATCTAAAGATCTCACCAAACTTTTGTTGGTGTTTGGCATTGTTTGTGCAGACTCGCAGCACCTGCAGGCGAGCATACCTCCCAGAAACAAATGTCTTTCTGGGTCCAAGGCAGTTGTTTCCTTTTTTTTTTTTTTTTTTTTTTTTTTTTTTTCTTCTTTTTCTTCTTTTTTGACATTGATGGGGGGGGTGTCGCAGGAGGCGGTACGAGCATCCTCTTGTGGTGCCCACCCGGACGATGGCTCCTGTCTATTGGTGGGGAACTGCGCCTGCTGGAAACCGGGTCCACCGTCCCATACATTGAACATGTTGAACTAACAATGTTAATATTCCACCGGGGCCATTACCAGGCTTCCTTGTTTTTGTTTTGAAAGAACATAGGAGGCTTAAAGTAGAATAAGGAATCGTATTTTTTTCTGACTTGCCGGTGGAATAAGAACCGGACTGAAGCTCCCCAGAATGGAAAAGGAGCCAGAGCCCTGGGGTCTAGTCCCACCTACAGCGTTGAGTTTTCTCAACGCTGAGCTTTCTATCACGTGTGGCATGGTGGGAGGGAGCTCTGCCGTTGATGTATTGCGAATCTAACGGTACCAAAATACAGGAGAATAACCTATTAGATTTAGTCATTTTAGAATTTTTTTTTGACGTGAAATCCGTTTTGTAGTATGCGTTGGCCCTTTTGGTTTGGGCGGGAAGCCATTTTCCGTTGAGAAAACTACCCTACCGAGGGTAGGGTACATTTCTCAACTTCAGTGCCTTTCCTTTTTTTTGTTTTTCAGTCCTCATTGCATCCTGAAACGGAGGAACTCTGACAGCTGTGTTTGGCTGTCTGTCATCAAACTCGTTTCCTTCTTTGGGCAATGAATGCATTTGGCCATCAACGTCGTCCCTGTCCGTTTTACAAATGGTGACCTCCTGCCCCCTCACCACGGGAAGTATCCTTTTTTCATGGAGACGTTCACTCCGACTGTTACAGACATGTTTCATTTCTCCCAGTTACGTTATAAAAAATAAGGAGAAAAGCTGTTTCTAGCGTTTCTTTCAGTTTTTTTATTTGTTGTTTCGAATTTATTAATGTCGACATGGCGTCACACCGTTGAGTTTTCTAAACTCAACAACCGTAGGTGGGACCAGACCCCTGAGGTTCTGTTTTTTTTTTTTTTTAAAGAAAAAAAAGAAAAGAATAAGAAAGGCACATGGTATGAGGCTTTACTCATGTGGAGGACACAATGTGCAAGAAAAGAAGAGATCAACAACTGATGTTCAGGGGTCCTTCGGTCCAGCGGAAGGGAGCATGAGGGTGTAAATGTCGTACAGTTATGACTTGCCGCTGAAGTTGCCGGTGGAGAAGGAACCACACTGCTGCTCCCCAGAATGGAAAAGGAGCCAGGGCCATGAGGATCTGTTTTTATTGGAAAAGAAAAGCAACCTGATTCTCCATAGCTGGATGACAATGTCTCATTGTGTCCTACATTTTGCAGATCATAGTTTGGTTCCCTTTCCACCAGCAAGTTTTGAGCAAAGATAGGCATAACATAACCACTTGTAACCTTTGTGGCTCTGCTGGTGAAATGTCACAGAGGGAAGTTGGTGGTCCTCTATGTGTCTTGAAACTGGGATAGTGTACCCTCTCCCTACAAGTTCTGCTGGTTTCACTGCAGCTATTATATTCGGACCTTGTCTCTGTTGCTTGTCTCACTTTTTTGGAGTCGGGTTTGGTGTTCTGGGGAAGAAAAGAAATCCAGCCAGCCTTGTAAAATTCCTGCTGAAAGGGAAGAAAGAACAACTATCTCACATCCTTTGGGACATCCGTTAAAATTTGAACGAAACAGAGAAGGAAGATTAGCAGGCCCCCGCACAAGGATGGCACACATTAATTGAGAAATGGTCCAATGAAATGGGGGGGGGGGGGGGGGGAGTTGTCTCAAATTCTTTGCACGGAAAAGGTCCTCTGCTGTTTCACAATCTTTACACAGAAACAAATCCAGCAGTTTTGACATCACCTGCATTGTAGGAAATCTAGCTGTTTTGACGTCCTGGCGCTGAATGAAATCCATCTGTTTCGGATTCATGGTAAAGAGGAAAGAGTTGTTATCCTTCTCGTAGGCTCGGAAGAATTGTGGAGGTGATAATGTGAATCACTCTGTAGTTGTGCTTGGCAGGGGAGGCGTCTTGGTCCACGTGAGATTCTGCGTGGCAAGGGAGGCGGTGTGGAAGGTGCCAATGCGTGGGCTGGTCATGTAACTCCACTTTGGGATCATACTGACCAGAGTTCGAGCTATAGCTCCTCTGATTTATCCGTTAGTCATGGCCAGTCTTCTCCAAGTGGCATGCGGCAGAGGACAGTCGGCAAACAACCCTCCAACACAAAAATGATGAAGTGGCAATTACGGCGGTTGAGATCACACAGGGTAGTCAGATGTGGGACACAAAGGAAAGAATCCCTGAGCAAGGATGTTGCTCTGGAAGAGCCTAGGGAAGATTCTGAAGACCACAGGGAGGATTCCAGTGGTAGCGGGGTTGGCAGTCAAATTACAATGGGGTGGACAGAGAGGCAAGGGAATTTACGGGGGGGAGGTACATGGGGATATGACAGCAGTGATAGCAGCAGCAACAGGCCCGCAAGTGCTCCAGCAAGGTTGAAGAGGAACAGGGAAACAGTTAAAGGGGGCCAGTTGCCTGATACAAGCAGATCGACAAAACACACTGTGAAGAAGAGGAAGAAGAAGAAGAAGAAGAAGAAGCAACCTGATGGCGTGGATTCTAGGAGTCCAGTCTCAAAGACAAGGAGCAAGCACCCCAAGAAACGACTTTCGGCTAGTGACTGGGCTGAGGGCGGAACGAGTCCGTCCAGAAATGTACCCCCCGTGACGCCAAGGACATATGCTCTACATCATCTGCTGATGGTGGGTAGCCGGGACTGTCACACTCTGACTGTAACTTGTGCCTGGGTATTTGCAATTTGTTATGATCTTTGCCAACTTCGAAGTACACATTCATCAGAAAGTACAATGCTGTCCAATTGCAAAAAGAAATGAATGAACTTGAGAGGAGAGAGAGGGAAATGAGGAGAAGAAGAAGAAGAAGAAAGACAGAAGAAGAAGATGATGTACACCAGCATAGATCAATGATAATGCTCTTCTTCTTCGCCAAGCACTCTCCTCCTCCTTATCTCCTCCCCTCTTATTCAAAGAAGAAATAATAATAATAATGTTGAATGGCTGAACCAGAATCAATGTCCGAATCCCTCTTCTACTGCAGGTATCACATGAGGTCCACCATAGCCATGGCCACCCTTCTTCCTCTTCCTCCAAGGTCAAGGCTATGGTGGACTATCAGGGTGTTGCCCTGCTGTGCAAAGGACAACACAAAGCAGCTATGGCTGCTCTAGCTCAGGCTGCCATGCCTGACTCTGCCTCGAAGCTTCTTGGTGTAGCTCTACCCCAACTGGGGCCTTCCTGCTGCAGCGCCCACCAAGGTGATGAAGATGGCAACCACCATAGCCAGCAACCACCGTAGCCAGTAAGTACCTTTGGCGCTCCCCCTTCCTAGTCCTAGTCTTCTTCCTCCTCCTGTCCTTGCTCCTTCCCCAGCAGCACAGCTCTGTGCTAGCGCTGCTCCAGCCAGCGCTCCAACCAGTGTGTCACCAAACTTGCACACCGACAATGAGGAGGAGCACTTTGCTCCTCCTGGAGATATAGCGGCCTGCTTGCCTCTTGGCGAGTGACTTCCTAGGCCGCACGGCCTCCGAGCAACCGATACCTTCTCCCTTTCGGAGGGAAACATCATTGCAGACTCTGATATTGCCCGTACAGGCCCTAGACTCAGACTGGTTGGACTGGTACCCGCCTAGACCTAACCTACAACTACTGGGCCTCTAAAAATGCCAACTTTTGTCTTCTTCTGCTCGGCCTCGAGTACCTGGCACATCTACCTCTACTTGGTGTGGTATCGGCCTACCTGCCACTTGAGTGTTTTCCGCTGCTTTAAGTGTCACGGGCCTCTTTCCCCGCCAGTTGAGTGCTTTCCCCGCTGCAACCCTCAATGTCATTGCCACAGGTAAGTACCGGCCCTTCGGGCCTTCTGAACAAACAAGTGCCCTTGCAGGTCACACACACGCTCAAGGCATGCAGACCATCAAACACGCACCTACACAGACTTAGAAAACTCAGCAACAAGCGGGGAACTCAGCAAGGCATACATTCCATGAGCAAAACTCAGAAATCAGCTGTGTGTCTCAGTTCGTGTTTGGCAGGTCATTACAAATTTGTTGAAATGCACTTGCAAAGCATGGTCTTATTCTCTTGATTTTGCTCCCTCTAGGTCCTTTTTTTTAATTAAAAAAAAACAGAACCTTATGGTTCTGGCTCCTTTTCCATTCTGGGGAGCATCAGTCCGGTTCCTTTTTTTTTTTTTATGGCCCTGGCTCCATATCCGTTCTGGGGAGCGTTAGTCCGGTTCCTATTCCCCCGGCAAGTCAAAAGAATACATAGTTTTACCCACTCAACGCTTCCTTCCGTATTGGTTACTCCTAAGGAGGATTGACTGTCAGCTTGCCATGACCACTTGTTCCTCTCAGGCTTCTGTCCAGAGCCTGTCGAATGAGTCCCTTTAATGCGAGAAGAGTGGGGGGGTTCGCTCAATGTTCTATTGCTCGTCCTTGTCCTTAATTGTGAGTCCGGTTTGTCTTCTTGTCGATCCTCCTTCGGGATCTTCTTGGGCTTCTGCCAGGGCACCCGACAGGAGACCTTAAAGACTTCATGATTGTGCCTGGTGCCAATTCTTCCACCTCAACCTGTTATCAACTATCGTCGCCACCTTGCCCTTTAACAGCCAGTTCCTCATGAAAGTCTGTTTCTTGGTTGCTTGTCCTTCTGGTTTGTGTCTTATAGAGTTGACTATTCCCCGCCATCTGCTTCTGATTTTTGACTCTGCCATGCTTAGGAGTAATGACCACATTTCTTCACTAGTCACCTCTGCACCCTCGATTGTTTGAGTGCATCTGCGTTTCCATATCACCCACAGTGCCAGCTTCCTGAGCAGGGTGAACGATACTTCCCTGCTGCATGTGATGTTGCTGGGGATGTTAGTTAGGATTAGGATAGAGAGAGGGGGAATGTCAGGGGGCGGGGAAGTGAACAGGATCGACCACAACTCGCGGACCTTCTTCCATACCCATGTCGCTTCTGGGAAGAAGAGGAGGCAGTGTGGGATGTCTTCGGGAAAGTTGTTGCTGCACATTGAGCAGCAGTCCGAGCTATCAGGGTCAGAATGTTTCCTTCTAGTATGTAGCCATTGGTTGACGGGAAGGGCTGCATGTGCTAATAGCCATTGCAAGCTGCGGACTCTGATTGGTCTGATGAGGAGATATTTGGTCCATGGGATGGTGATGGGCATCGTGTCATCTAGGTTCAGTATGCTTCTCCATTTCTCTGTCAGCCTTGGATTTGGGTCCCTGGTTTGTACTCCGAGGTTATACCCGAACTTTACATCGTATTCTGTTATCGTCCTCAACTTTCCGGTGGCGCCCAAGTCCCACACTCATTCTTTTGGGTCGAATTCCAGCTCCTTAATGCTGAGTTCCGGTTGGAAGATGATCCAGGGTTTCCTGTGAGAGACTACCTTCTTGAGAAGGTAGGTTTCTATTTGTACGTTCTATGGTGTTTTGTTTAGGACCGCTAGTTCGTATATGTTGTGTTTGATGATGGGGTAGGATATGAACTTGGCCTGGTAGTTAGTCGGGTTCGGTTTGGTCACAAAGCGGGAGGCTCTTGTTGGTGGGGTCTGTGTGGTGAGCAGTCCCTAGTCTCCAGGTTTCCACGTGTGTGGTTCTTTAAGGAGGGTCGTCCATGGGGGGGGAATGCTTTAAAGGATTTCTGACCGGTTGGTGTTTTGTAGGTGGCACCCTTTTAGGGGAGTGCGGAGGTCCTGTTCGGTTAACCATTCTTGTCGGTCCTCAGACCACAGATGTTTGACCTGCCATACTCCTTTCTCCACACAAGACAGCCATCTGTGGTCTTTGGCTCGGAGCGTCCATGGACTGCCCTCTGTGTCTTTAATCCAGGGATTGCAGAACAGGGGTTGTCTTAAGACTTCCTCTTTGTTGCTCGGGAACCCTTTCTTTTTGGCATCAGGCGACACCAGGCTTTCAGGATTGGTGACCAGTAGGGGGTGGCCGTAGTGGGGGGTTGATTGGGGGTCAGGGGGTTGGTTCTCCTAGCAGGTCTTCCGGATTTGATTGTCCATTCCTTTGCCATGATCGAGAACAGGCCACTCATGTTCGGTGGGGACGCTACCGGTGCCAAATTCCTTAAGCTGTCCACCGCCATCTTGGTCCACGGGAGGGCTTGTTTGGTGAGGATTTTGATTATCCCTTTTATTTGGAGGGAGATCGCTTCCTGTTTAGGGTCGATTATACCTAGCCCGCCTTCGTGTGGTTTCCTGATGACAGTTTGCCAAGCCACTTTGTTTATGCAGGTGGTTCTGTTGGGATTGCCAGTCCACAGGTAAACCCTGGCTCTAGCCTTCAACTTCTTCAGGTCGTCATCGGGAGGGGACCATATGGAGGCCATGTACCATAGAGTGGAGAATACTGCTGTGTTGACGACCAGGGCTCTCCCTAGCAGGGAGGCCTGGGCTTTGTTGCAGGTGGCAAGACGGGTTATTGCTCTGGTGATTAGAGTCTCTCCCGTACCTTGCCAGATGCCATCTCTGTTAACCATAATGCCCAGGTATCAGAGTGTTTGATCGCCTGTGGTCCATGACATTGGGGTGGATGAGTTTGGAGGTTGGGGGGGGGTGCCTTCTGCTAGCCACCATCCTTCCGTTTTTGACCACTTTACCTTCATTTATGAGGCGAGTCTGAAGGCTTCCATAGCGCGGGCCAGGGCTTGGAAGGAGGAATTACTAGCGCGAATGAGGACTGTGAGATCATCTGCGAACATCTGTGCGGTGGGGAGAATGAAGTCATGGAGGGGGTTGTGGTTTTGTTCAGCCAGGCGGTCTATGGATGGATCCTTGCGGAGGAAAGATGCAACAACTTCCATTATGAACAAGAATATTGGGGTTGCACGGGGATCGCCGTCATGGACCGATCTCGATATCGGATAGGTATCTGACAATATTCTGTTTATCTGCACCCTGCCCGTGGCATCTCCATAGAGCACTTACCCACTCTCTGAAGTTTGGGCCGACTCCCATCTTCTCCATACAACTTGTGTAGGAAGTCCCAATTGACTTGATCGTAGGCCTTTTCAAAATCGAAAAATAGGATCGCCGCTTGCATCCGTTTTTCTGTGATTTTCTTTGCATCGTCGTTTAGAGCCATCACATTATCCAGAATATATTGACCCGGAATGAATCCTGCTTGGTCAATATGAAAGCATTTGTCTGTTAGTTTGATGATTCTGTTTGCTAGAGCCTTTGCTAGGATTTTGTAGGGCGTTGTGAGAAGTGAGATTGGTTTGTAGGTCTTCAGGTCCTCCTTCTCGCCTTTCTTGTAAACTAGTGAGACTATGCTGGTGCTTAGAGATTGACCCGGGCCTGCTTTTTCCCTGCTGTCATTAATAAAGTTCTGGAGGTCATTTCCCAGTATGGGCCAGAACTGGATCCAAAATTCTTTGGACAGGCCATCGATTCCTGGTGCTTTGTCATTTCCCATCTGGGACAAGGCTGCGTGTAGTTCCCCTAGGGTGATTGGTTTGTCCAGGTCCTGCGTTTGTTGCTGGGTGATCGTGCTCTCTAGGTAGTTCATCATGTGCTGACGAGCGTTGATGTTCGCTGACTGAGGGAGGGAGGTAGTTTTGGACTCGTAGAGGTCGGCGTAGAAAGATCTGGCTATTCTTACCATGTCCGTGCTGGCTGACTTTGTCTTCCCCTGGTTTGATGGGTCCGTCAGTCTCTCGAT